GTTAAAAAAAATCCGTGCAAAAAAATAGAGAACGATTTGAATGATTTGTTGAAGAGATGGCTTAAGGAAGATTATATTTCAAAAAACGAATATTATAAATTACGTTGTAGTGATTCTCTCCTTCCAAAAGCGTATGGATTACCTAAAATCCATAAGGAAAACTATCCAGTTAGAATCATAGTTTCATCGGTTGATACAGCTCTATACTCGCTGGCTTCGTTTTTACAAAACACCTTACGAACTAGCCTACCCAAAGCGAAAAGTCATATTAATAATAGTTTTGATTTGTACAGCATATTGTCTGGTAAAAAGATTGATGAGAATGATAGGATGTTTTCCTTGGATGTGGTGTCTTTGTTTACGAACGTTCCTCTGGATCTTGCGATTGACGGTATTAACGATAGATGGGATTACATTGGAATAAATACTAAAATACCGAAAAACGAATTTTTGGGGGGTATAAAATTCATATTGACTTCTACATATTTTACATTTGATGACATAATTTATAAACAGACGTTTGGGACCCCTATGGGGTCACCGTTATCACCAATTATTGCAGACCTGGTTATGCAAGATCTTGAGGATACAGTTCTCAAAGCGTTGAATTTGGAATGTTTGTTTTATTTTCGTTATGTGGATGACATAATAGTGGCCACCTCTATGACTAATATGACTCAGATTGTGAATAATTTTAACAACTATCATGAAAGACTTAAATTCACGGTCGAACAAGAGGTTAACCATAGCTTGAATTTCTTAGATTTATCACTTAAAATTATTAATAACAAAATATATATAGACTGGTATCAAAAAGAAACCTTCTCAGGAAGGACGTTATCATTTTATTCAAACCACCCATTATGCCACAAAATTGGAATAATATATAACCTTGTAGACAGATGTCTATTGCTATCACATCCACTATTTTTTAATAAAAATTTGGAGTTAATTATTAATATACTCAGAAGCAATGGTTACCCTCTTGATCTGATTTTTAACAAAATTAATCATCGGATAGAACACATCATATCTAAGGGGAGCATTATAGAGAGACAGGCCAACATAGAAAGAACAAAAAGTATAGGAAATGACTCGGTCAATAAAAAATTCTTTGTCATTCCGTATATAGATGGGATCTCAGAAATGATTGTTTCCTCGGTAAAAAATAAAAATTGTATGGTAGGGTATAGATGTCTCAACAAACTGGATAATATTATTAAAGCGCAGAAAGATAAAACTAAACATCCATGCAATTCGAATGTGGTTTATAAGATCAGTTGCAATAATTGTAATGCATCTTATGTAGGCCAAACAAAGAGGCAATTGCAGACGCGAATGAAAGAACATAAAAATAATATTAGATTGGACTCAACGAAACATTCAGTAATTTCTGAACACATAATAAATGAACATCATACTTTTAATTGGGACAATGTTAAGATCATGGACAACGAAAATAATTATTATAAAAGACTCATTTCTGAGATGCTACATATCAAGGAACAAAAAAATGGACTAAATTTAAACAAAGATACTGAGTTACTTAGCGAGTCGTATTTTGATATTTTGGATATATTAGCGAACAAGAAATAATAATAGGACAAATAGGACATTAACGAGTAAAACATAGATATTAGATCATATATAAACACGCACGCTCTCCGATCAAGTAGAGTTTAAAATGAGCTGTCTTTCTGTATTGTTGGTTTGTTATGTGTCATCCTTAATAACTGTTAATAAGTAGCAAAATTGTCAAGAAGAACGATGATAGGTAAGCATACTACCAATTGTAGGGGATACATATTATAATTTGGACATACGTTGATCGGTAATTTTTTATTAATCGCAGCGCCTACGGAACGGGTTAATTTCTCGCATATTAACGATGAAACTATCCGAGATCTGAACAAAATCAGGGATCATATCGAGGCGAACATTGTTGGACAGGACGGATTGAAACACGCGTTAATTGCTCAAAAACTCTTGATTCTGAATAACTATAATTAAATTTCGATATTATGTGAATTGTAAGAATTTATATTTCAATAATTATACTGAAGAAGACCGCGTGCGGTCGAAACGTTTATAGAATGATTGTAATTTGCGTTAGTTTTAATATAATGACTGTAGTTTTATAATTTATACATGTAATAAATGGTAGTTGACTGAACATCTCGAATATTCAGCTCGATAAGTTGGCCTTATATTTATCACTTTGTTTTCAATATACGAGCGACAATTGTATTAATTTATTTGTAATAATTATTAATTAAGTTATTAATTAAAATATTTAAGCGAATAAGCGAGTGAAAGCGATAGACCGAAATCGGTGAGCATGTAGGGCTTATTTGTTTACGTCGCTTAATAACAAAAGTATCATCTTACTTTTCGGCGCGGCGGCATTGCTCGCCGCTCGCTGCATGACTCTGCCTCTCGATCAGATAATGCTTTTGTTACTAAAAGACGTAAATAAATAAGTCATCGTACATGCCCACCGATTCTGGCCTACCGCTTTCTACCCACTCATTCGCTAGATATTTTTATTAATAACTCAATAATTATTGCAAGTTTAGCGAAATGATACAGGACTTTTCTATTCATATAAATTTAACATATATAAGATAGGCAATAAGAGCCAAATCGCGGATGACAGTGCGTTATTCTAAACGAAACTAAATTTTTCGTTAGAATTAAATACCTGTGCACAAGGCACCAAATTTTTACTTGGACACGGCCAAGATATAAAATTGGAATAATCTCTACAAGAGATTTTTAATTCCATGTATCCCCTATTCCCCCTTTTCTATTCAGTTTAACATGCTGTACCCGTTCACGAAAGATAGTTCGCGAATTATGGGATACTCTGTATATTTACGTTTCTCATCCGAAATTACTCGTTGACGCACGAATTTCGTGTTGCCTTCCTGCAATTTCTGTCCTTTTTATTAAGGTCTTAAAATTTCGTATATCTAACAATAAATTTGTATATTGTATATGGTCGATTAAGAAATTAAGCACATGAAACAACGCCGAATACTCGAGCCTCGAGCAATACACGGAATTATTCTTTTTCTTTTCAGCGGTCCGTTCTGTTTTCTCTATCAGTCTCATGTACATGTCCTACATATCTCATCCCCATCTCTCTCTCTCTCTCTCTCTCTCTCTCTCTCTAATGACAATTGAGATAAAATTCTTTATAACTTTAAAGACGTAAGAAACATTTATAAAGTATAATTTGAAGCCAGAAAATATAATAACTAAAATATAATTTGGAAATTATTTTTAACTAGATTTATACTTGTTTCTACGTATACTTTGGGAACAATGAGAATTTTCGGACATTTATAGAAAACTAATTCGATTTATATAACTTTAGAAACAAGTTAGATATATATTATTTATTTTATTTAGGAACATTTATATATTAAAATATTACATGTAAAAGAGTATATATCTATTATATATGAACATTTGTAGGACTAAAAATGTCCTCCGTTTTGTACTTTTGCAATAAGTAAGGAGAAATTAATTTAAGAAGTCGGTCTATCCGCGCGAATAAAAGCGTACAGCGAAAAAGAAACCGTTTACTACCTTGATACAAAGCGCACAGTGAAGCAATGGAAAAAGCACTCAGCTCGATATTCAATATGTTAATGTTTTCTCCGATTATAATAGAAAATTGATAATTGACCGTCAATCGTTCTATTTTTGACCTAGTTTAACCCGTTCTATTTCTATGACAAATAAAACGATTGATCTGGAACACCTTGTATAATATATAATAATAAGATTTATGAAATTAAATTAATTTCTACAATTATCAATATATATGTAAATATATATGTAGTCTTTATAAAATATTTAAATATAATAATATAAGATACAATTATACACACATATAATCAAGTTAAAATATTCTTTTTACTAAATTGAGTATAAATTATCTTATTAAAATATATATATACATATAATTTGTCATACTATTTATACTTTATTTACAATAGTAGAAAGAATATTTTAATTTCTCTTACCAAAATTGTTTTATTATTTTCAGATGTCATTAACCAGTTCTCCAATTCAGCCAAAGAATTATCATTTACAAGAAATGATTGCATAATTTCGGGAATTTCATTACATACAACATTTTGTACTAGATCTGCTTTATTTTTTAGTAGAACATTAATACCTTCGAAAATATCATCCATTTTCAAACTGAGAATGTGTAATTCTCTACAAATCCGTTTTCCAAATTCTAAAATGTAAATAATTAATTATAAATTATTGTTTAGTAATATTTTTTTTAATATTTTATTTACATATATATACCATTTTTTTAAATTTTTAAATTGTATTTATTTTATTACAATATATACGTATATCTTATGTAATAAATTATAATATATTATACGAACTATCTTTCTTACCAGAATTTAATTCCAAAGCCGGGTTTTTATGATATGACTCAACAATATTAGAAATAGAAGTACTAGTACCAGAATTAGAAATAGTATCAACAGTAACTTTGAACTTATGAGTGTTATTTTCTATTTGATTTTTCTTTCCTAGAAAAATATAAATTAAATATATATCTTTTTACATATAATTATATTCTCTTTTCTACATTAATAGCTGTTACAAATTTTAAGTAAGTACTGGTTTAAAGCTATATCAAGAAAAAGTGCAATTAAAATCTTAAATTTTTCTTATTTGTTTTTTATATGTTTTCTTATATTTCTGTATTTTTAATATTAATTATTTTTATTATAAATATTTTTACAAAATATAATCTTAATGAATTTTTTATTACATAATTATAATATCTTATACCAACATCATATTTTTTACTTACTATTGTTTGAGTCAATTTGTTCGTTAAAATTTGGAACGTCAGGATATAGTGCATCATCATCTGATGATGATCTATCTATTTCAGAGAAGGACGATTCACTTTCAGATTTGTTATTGCGTTTTTAGTTTTTGTATTACGTTTTTTTTCTCTTTCAACTCTTCATTATTAGAAGTAAGAATGTTTGTACTTTTGGTTTTGTTTGCCTTTTGATGCGCTTTTTTATAAGTGTCTGCAAAATAATAATTATTTAAATTAGTATTAATTAAAATTAAAGTAACAACTAAGTATATAAATATATAAGTCGATTAAAATTTGATTAAAAAAATGAAAAATAAATACGTAGTTGTATTTTAATTAAAAGTAAATTATCTTAATAAATAATATATATATGACTATTACTTATGTAATATAATTGCTATACATATATAAATATATACAAAAGATTTATAAAATATATATTTGTTACACAAATACACAATATAGTGTGTGTGTGTGTGTGTGTGTGTGTGTGTGTGTGTGTGTGTCTGTGTCTGACAATTTATATATACTTTACCATAAGTGCCCAAACTACTCGCTTATATTATTAATCGCTTATTGTACGAGAAAATGTGATCTCGTATGCGTGATGCGAGTATTTTGATGTCCGTAATTCTCTTAATTGTATTGTCTCGCCAAACTGTGATGTGACGGGGAAATCCACGTAACATATGCAATCAAATTTAATTCTCAAGATCGAGATTTATTGTTGCGGTGCCGAGTAGATCGATGTACAATGTTCGTTCGTTCGCTCGCCGGTTGTTGTGAAGGTCTTACTTGTTATTCGCGCGACTGTTGTAACAGAAGTATATCACGGACACATCGATGGAAACCGTCGAGGCTCATTTCCCCACTCGTCCGTGTTTTCGGAATACGCCGAATTTCACCGAGATGATACGAGAACGAAAACAGTGATATCACCGCGATCGGTGTCCGGCGTGAATCATATAGGTCGTATATCGAACACTTATATTATATTAGATATTATTAAAGTTATGTTGAGCAATATTACTTTCCTCAAGCACGCGATGTACATATAACTTGCTGTAAAGGCTGAGCTGATTTACGAACTTTCTTCTTTAATTGTTGCATATAATTTTCAAAAGGAAAAGCGCTAAAATTGTCAAGTGAACCATATAATTTTACACAGTCGCTTAAATGCAAAAAGTTATGTATGTTGTGTGATACAAAATCCGGACCGTAAATTTGAATAGACTGACAGACAAAGTGTTTCATCAAACTGTGAGCATATATTACATAATCTTCATTTCTCGAATAACATTGACTTATCATTATAGAACTAGCAAGACTTAATGTTATGAAATTATTATAAATTTTAGATGATAAACCTTTTTCAAAACTATAGGACCAGAATAGAGCAAAAAAAATCTATATTCCGTGGCTTTATATCTCTTACACTCAATTATAGAACGTGTTTTTCTAAAAAAAACTCATAAGGAACGTATTGCTTTAATTTTAGAAGATTTTCTGAAATTTTATTTACATCGCGAGCTCGTAATTTATGGGGTGGTTTACCATAAATCCAGTCATACCGTTTATGACAAAGGAGCCTTTTCATACCACCTAATAAAAGATTATGCATGTAATCTATTGGTACATTATCTCTCATGTTAAAGTTAGGTATATCTAATAGTATACTTTTGCCAATATGATGTTCCGGTTGAGCAGTAGTTCTAAATGTATGATCAGTTCTTTTGCAAAAACGTTCTGTCTCCGTAATACATGATTAAACATTTCACCCTCTTCTTCACATTTTGTGCATGAAAAATGGCCTGTATGACCTTTAATAAATAAAGCAAATGATTTAGCTGGAGAATCACAAATTAACATTAAAATTCTGAATTTGTATCAAAAAGAATTTATTAATATGCCATTAGTTGTTAGATGAATACATTCATTTACAAAATCTTTAAAAAAATTATTAGCAGATTTTGGTTTTTCCGAACCATGATATAAAGCAACTAAAAATATGTGGTTTATAAGAACTTTTATTGATTTGATTGAGCATAAAATAGGCCAAAACGAACTATTCGAACTTTTGCTTAACGGTAAACCATCAGTATTGACAGCTAATAAAAACTCTTCATCTCGTTCTAAGTTGATTTTATGATTTATACAAAATAAATTTATCGTTTTTTCTATACCAAAATAAAAATATGTCCCGAACCTAAAGGTGTTACAATTATTTTACTAGGTGTTTTTAGTACTATTCTTGCATCTTTTGGAATATTGCTACATCCCGGTATTTCTCGTATTATAGGAAGTAAATTTCCTAACGCCGATATTGTTATATTATCTTTTACAGCCCATACAGCTAATTTTGAGGTTAACGATATATTATTTTCATTATTATTGCACTCATATTATTCGGTAATTCTTCGACATCATTATTAAATAACTCATTATTTGGAACATTGACATTTATATCATTATTACAACATGAATTTATAGGCAATATTAAACTATCTACTAACTCATTGTTGTATGGATATTGACATTTACATTATTATTACAGCATGAATTTGTAGGCAATATTAAACTATCAGTAGCAATATTATTATCAATTACAATTTCTGTGATGTTATTGATATGTGTATTAAAAAATACAGAATTATTATTAATGAGTTCTAAAGATCGATTTAGTTTATTTTTAAGATTTCTATTAAATTTAATTTTATCTTTAAACCTTAACTTATCCATAGTCAAAGCTAGAGGTTAGACTAACACTGAACACAAAAAAAAGA